TTTAAACGATTTCCCATTTCTGGACAATTTGTGCTTTTACATCTCTTGGCTATTTTCAATAATTTTAAAAGAACATCCTTTCTAATCACTTCTTTTATTATTTCTTTAGAATGAATATATTTCAATAAGTATAATTACTAGATTAAAGGTAGTACATCTTTTTAAAAGACTTTTAACATATATTTTCAGATTGCCCTCCATAAAGGTTGTGCCAACTTACATTCCCACTAATGGGGTATAAGAGTCTTTCCAAACTTTTTCTGTTGCTAGATTGTCTTTATTTTTAATTGGTAGATAATCACATCTCTTTCCTTTCCTTTGAATCTCTTTATCATCAAATTAGATTTTATTTTTGACATGCTTATTGGTCTTTGTAGTTTTTCATAACTTGCCCATATTGATAAGTAAGATTTTTATAAATTAATGCTTTTATCTCTTTGTCTGCCACATATGCTGCCAATATTTCTTCCCAGTTTATCTTTTGTCTTTTTATTTGTTTAATAACATTTTTGGTAGCATGGACATTCCTAATTTTATTTAGTTGAATGTAGCCAATTTTTCCTTTATGGTTTCGATTTTTATTTTTGGCATCATGGTTAGGACTTTCCCACCCCCAACTTTGTAACATTCACCCAAATTTTGTCCTAGACCACCATGATTGCACTTTTTTTCATTTTAGTCATTGCCTCATCTGAAATCTATTTTACTGTATGCTGTGATATGGGCATCTGCATTGATTTTTTTTCCCCCAGGCTGGATGGAGGTTCACCGGACAGATGCAAAAACTGCAAACGGCCACAATTTACTATATATGCTGAAGGGCATTCCACTCTCATAGGAAGGATGAATGACTTGCCCTCTGGATGGGGCCTATTTTATATCTGAATTCTGAGTATGTGCTGCTACCTTTTGCCCTGCCTAGCACCTTGGATCCTGAACTGCTGTCAATGTTAAACATAAAATTTGGTTCCTCTTCCTTCTCATGTAGGCACTGTGTGCATCTGGTGGAAGGTGGTCTTGGCAACTTTCCACCACCATAACTTCTTTACTCCTGTAAGCTCAAGGCTATCAATCTACTGACAACACAGACTCAACACATACCTGTTGAGCACTTACTAGGTAAAAAGCTGTGTTCTATAATTAAGAAGAAAAAGTTAAATAAGACAGTTCCATGAACATTGATCAAAAAAATCTTCAACAAAATACTAGTAAACTGAATTCAGTGGTATATTAAAAGGATTATACATCATGACCAAGAGGGATTTATTCCTTGAATGCAAGGACATTCCAACATATGAAAATCAATCAATGTAATATACCATATTAACAGAATGAAAGGAAACAAAAACCACATGATCATCTCAATAGATGCAGAAAAAGGATTTGACAAATTCAATATCCTTTCATAATAAAAGCACTCAATAAAATACGGATAGGAAGAAATTACCTCAATGTAACAAAAGCCATTATGAAAAGCCCACAGCTGATATCATACTCAGTGGTGAAAGGCTGAAAACATTTCCTTTAAGATCAGTAATAACACAGGGCTGTCTACTTTTACTACTTCTATTCAACATAGTACTGGAAGTTCTAGCCAGAGCAATCAAGCAAGAAAAAGAAATAAAAGGCATCCAAGTTGGAAAGGAAGAAGTAAAATTATCTCTATTCATAAATGATATGTATGATCTTATATACAGAAAACTCTAAAGAGTCCATACATACAAAAAAAACAGAAACCGGTTAGAACTAATAAATAAATTTAGCAAAGTAGCAGGATACAAAGTGAACGTGCAAAGATTAGTTGCATTTTTATACTAACAATGAACAATCTAAAAGGAACTTATAAAACCAACTCCATTTACAATAGCATCAAAAAGTATAAAATATTTAGGAATTAACTTAACCAAGGATGTGAAAGACTTAGACAATGAAAACTATAAAACATTGATGAAAGAAATTAAAGAAGATATAAATAAATGAAAACATATCCCAAGTTCATGGACCACAAATAGCTAAAACAATCTTAAAAATTAAGGACAAAGCTAAAGGACTCCTACTTTCTGATTTCAAAACTTATTACAAAGTTATGGCAATCAAAACAGTGTGGTATTGGCATAAAGACAGACATTAAACCAAGGAAATAAGATAGAGAAAACTGGATATCAACATGCAAAAAGTGAAGTTGGATCCTTACCTAACACCATATACAAGAATTAACTGAAAATGGATCAAAAATCCAAATGTAACACCTAAAAATTAAAATGCTTAGAAGAAAACATAGGGCAAAAGCTTCACAACATTGGATTTAACAATGTACAGGCAATAAAATTAATTATAAAAATAAAAATAGACAAAATTGAACTTTGTGGAAATTTTTAAATTTTGTACATCAAAAGACAATATCAACAGAGCAAAACTGCAGCCACCAAATGAAAGGAAATATTTGCAAATAATATATCTGATAAGATATTGATATCTAGAATATAGAGAAAACTCTTAAAACTCAATACCAAAAAAAAAAAGCCTCTATTCAAAAGCAGGCAAAGAACTCAAATAGACATTTCTCCAAATAAAATATAAACATGGGCAATAAATACATGAAAAGATATTCAACATCACTAATCACTAGGGAAGTTCAAATCAAAACTACAATGAGCTTCCCCCTTATACCCATTAGGATGGCTACCATTAAAAAAAAGAAGAAACAGAAAATAACGTGTTGGCAAGGAGATGAAGAAATTGGAACCATTAAAATGGTACAATCATTATGGAAAACCATATGGAGGATCCTCAAAAAATTAAAAATAGAAGTACTATATGATCCATCAATTCCACTTCTGAGTGTATACCCAAAGAATTAAAAACAAGGTCTCCAAGAGATATTTGTACATCCATGTTCATAGTAGCATTATTTATGATAGCCAAAATGTAGAAGGAAGCAACCCAAGAGTCCATTGAAGGATAAATGGATAAGCAAAATGTGGTAAATACGCGCAATGCAATATTAATCAGCCTTTAAAAAGAAGGAAATTCTGATATATGCTACAACATGGATCAGCCCTGTGGACATTATGCTAAGTGAAATAAACCAGTCACAAAAAAGACAAATATTGTATGATTCACTTATATGAGCACTTAGACAAATATTGTAAGGTTCATTAATATGAGCACTTAGTCAAAATCAGAGAGACAGAGACTGTAGAATGGTGGTTTCCGGGGGCTGGGCAGAGGGAAGAATAGGGAATTATTGTTTAATCTATATAGAGTTTCAATTTTATAAGATGAAAAGAGTTACAGATGTGGATAATGGTTGCATAACATTATGAATGTATCTGATATCACTGAACTATACACTCAAAAATGATTAAGATGGTAAATTTAAGTCATGTGTATTTTAACACAATTATTTAAATTGGAGAAGAAAAGAGATACAGTTTCTACCCAACAATGGTCTTAGACAGCAATCTACATACATTCTTTGTTGATAAACTCAGTGATGTCCACAAAAATGTCAGCATTAGACCTGAAGTCAAAAGACACAGGTCCAAATTTCAGCTTGTTCTATGGACTTAGACGAGGCTATAATTCTCCTTAAGCCTCAGTGTAAGTTTCATTATCTGCTAAGTTAGAGTAATAATACTTACTTTTAAGGTTGTTTTACATATTAAATGAGATAATATATGCCACATTACCCAGACAGCATACAATATAGATGCTCATGTTTCACTGAAGAAAAAAAATCTGAATAATTCTGTAGATCACTTTAAAATCAAAGCAATTTAACACATATTATTGGGTATTATTACTATGTGGACAGTCATGAGGAGAGAGGACTTTAGTCTAATAGGAAAAATAGGCCCAGATAAGCAAACTAAATACATACTAATTTTATGTACAGTTGACCCTTGAACAACACAGGGATTAGGGGCACTGACCCCTACACAGTTGAAAATCTACAAATAACTTTTCACTCTCCAAAACTTAACTACTAATAGCCTACTGGTGACAGAAGCCTTCATAGTAACATAAACAATTAACACATATTTTGTATGTTATATGCATTATATACTGTATTCTTATAATAAAGCAACCTAGAGAAAATTCTATTAATAAAATCATAAGGAAGAGAAAATACATTTACAGTATTATACTGTATTTATCAATACCATAAATTTACATTGTCTGTTTACAAAATGAATAGTCTGTCTGGAATGGTGGGCAACCACAGCTGCAGACCTGAATCTTGTAATGACATGGCTTTTCTCTGCTTCCTGGAAGCACTTCCAGCATCACTAGTGGCATTTTGTGTGGGTCCCATGGTGTTATTCAAGGTATACGGTATAGCACTAAACACGATGAAAAACACAAGAACCACAAGAGATCACTTTTTACCGCAATTTGCAATTTACTGGAGAAAGGAACTGCTCACATGGAGATAATTAGGGTCACACAGCGTATGAAATCAGTACTCACAATGCTTGAGCTCACTGCAATAGCAACAGGTGGTAGCCATGAAATTATTACAGTAGCATACTATGTCCTGCAGTGAATTCTATGCAGTTATGACTTAATACTGCATCTTTACATTTGTTTATATTTGTCTCAACTGTGAATGGCACCATGTTACAGTCTGTAAGTATTTCTATATGTGAGTTTTGATAAATTTTAACTATTTACTTACAACAGATTTATGTGTATTTCATGATAGTAAGTGATAAAATAGACTAATATCTACATATATCTTATGCATTCATAACATACCTAACTTTTTCTTACTTTTTTTGATATTTCTAGGCTATGTGGTTTGCAAGTTTTTTCAAATAGTTGCAAATCTCAAAAAAAATCTTCCAATACATTTATTGGAAAACATCTGCAATAGGTGGGCCTGTGCAGTTCAAACTCATGTTGTTCAAGGGTCAACTGTGTACTTATTATTTCATACATATTACTTAAAATATATGTATTTATTTTATATATGTATATATGTGTGTGTATATATATATATAATGAGTAACAAGATGTGTACAGATGAGACCATCCTAAGATGTTGAGTGTTAACCCTCCCTAGGCAAAGGAATCAAGAAAAAATCCAAAAGAAGACTTAACCTGTAAATTAAGGCACACATACATAAGGGAGTCTTTGAAGGAATCTTCGAGAACTCTAATAATTTATTTATGATGGTATACAAGATTAAGATCATTCACTGGTGACTAATCAAAATAGTAAAATGCAACCATAAATTGGTAGAAATTAAATGTGTAGATATAAGTTAAGAGAATATCCAATCAGAATTATATTATGATTAGGCTAATGGCATAGCTTTCAAGCATAGGGAAGATATATAGACTTTCATAGAATATAATAAAGGTACACAGACTTTCCTAGATTATAAAAAGATACACCGAGGGCTTAGTCTATGTCTGAGGGAAGAGACAGTGCAAGGACACACCAAGGCAATAAACCACCTTAGCCACCCCTGCACGTCCCAGGAGCTGCCTGGGTGCACCCTGTACAGCAGAGCTGCCAAGGAAGGGAGGGGGAGAGGACAAGCTCGCATGGGCCACTCTGCAATAGAATTCACTGTTGAGACAAGAGAAGACTGACCAAAGTTTTCACAGGTTTCTCAGCAGAGGAATTTGCGCCAAGATTAGGAATATGACCTGCTAAATCAATTTCTTAGCCCTAAGGGAACCAGATTCTTTTAATCTGTTGACCCATCTGTCCTGGAGATTTCTTGGAGAGGAATAGCAGACTTTGACAGATCCAGGAATCGCATACCCATTGGTAGGCTGAGCGTTCAGGAAACCTCTGGCCTTAGCCACTGTCATAGGCCTTTAAACTGACCCTAAGTGAGACTTAATAAAAGCTAGCCTGTGAGGTCCCCATATCTTTTAGCAGAATCTGTGTGAGCAGCCTTCGGCTGATTCCACCACTTCCTATTCTGGCTTTAAACTTTGGCCATGAGCTTTCAGAGTGCCTTCCCCATGCCACCCTGAGTAAATAGCTCCATGGTGTCCTACTGTTTTTTCCAGTCCCTGACCTTGCTTACCTTTGGTGACCGAAATCCCCATTCCAGACTAGGTACGCTCATACTCCTGTTATCAGTCTAGCACGCCTTAGGATGCTGCCTCATTCAAACCCCAAGAGCATCAAGCAAGAAAACCCACCCATCAAGTATCCCTGCCCTGGAAGCAAGAGATGTGATTGGGACCACCAGCCCTGCCCGCTCATTCCCCCTGGACTCCTTCTGAAAGTGTGTCCACCTTCTAAAGCCTCCTTTATGCTGGCCATGGAGATACAACTGATTCTCCCCAGGCCCGTGACCCTGCCGCAACCTCAGTGGCCTGGGTCAAGAATGAGAAGAGAGAGCAGAACCCAAATAGTTACCTCCCCTGAGACTCTCAATGGCACTGTGAAGCACTTACACCTACAATCACAACACATGCACTTAAGAACTAAGAAAAGCTTCCACTTTTAAATGAAATGTCTTACTCCTCCAAAAAGAACAGTGCTTATTGAGATAAATGAAAAGAGGGTGGTTGTTTTAAATCAGTATGACTAATGTTAAAAAACAGCTGGTAAGGAATACGAGGTAATCACATACACACAAGCTACCAGCTGGGAACATTACAGTGCTCTACCTACCGTGATTTAGTTCTCCCTCCTCACGTAGTCTCTCCGAGTGGCAGCTGTGAACCTGGGCTTTGCACGTTAGGGACCATTAGGAGAAGCAGCATGATTCATCATCTTCTGCTTGTGTTATTTTAACTTAGTCATTTGGGGGCAGATCTTCTGAGATACTAACAATAGTCTGAGACTAGATTGATTTTTCCTCTTTAAATAACTTGTGGATTTTTTTAACTATTGAAATTTCTGCCATTTCAGGTAAAGATGCATAAAATCTCAGAGTGGGAAGGGAATGTGGAGGTCACTTAGAACAATCTCTCATCCTTATCAAGCTATCCTGCATTGCTGGAAGCTATACAGACTCTCCTTGAGTTCTTCCAGTGATGAGAAGCTCACCACTCATAAGAAAGACTATTTTGATTTTTCAGATAGTTCTAATTATTAGAATATTTTTCTTTAATTATACTCCTATATAATCAATCACTAGATTTTTTTGTTCTCTTGACTATATAATATCTCTTCAACTGAGGCAGATTTTATGTTTATTTTGTCTTCTCATTTCCAAGATAATAATCTGCAGTTTCTCTAAATTTGCCCTTAGATTTCTCAGCATCCCCAACACTCTCCTTTGAATGAATCTCTCTTTTGGAAAATGGCATGAAAATTTAACACTAGGCTCCAGATGTGACCTGGGCAGGGCGGAGTGTTGTGGAACCCGTTGGACACAGTGCTTCTACAGGTGCAACGTTGGCTTTCTTAGAAGCCATGGCACACTGTCGTTTGAGTCTGCATCAGAGTTTGCAGTCACGGAAGCTCCTGGTCTCCTTTCCAAACAGTCTGCTTTGCTTTCAGACTGTCCCTGGTTCTATCACTCAAGAAATTTGCTTTTTAACCCAAATTCGCTATTTTATATATTGATAGCTACTAAAGTTTATCTTGTAGGCATTTTTTGAGACACGGCAGGTATCAAGACCATTTAATTATTATCTACTGTCCCTCCCAAGTTCTCATTATCCAAAAATGTGAAGAGCGTTTTCAACTGCTTCTTCTCTGATGATAATTCTGAGTATCCAAGGATAAAGCAGAGTGGTAGAGAAATCTACCCTTTAATCAATGATCTTCCAAGAGGTTTTAGAAACCAGCTGACTAGCTAGAGCATTAATGGTTAAAACGTTTCCCTTACTATCAGAGAGTTGCATATCTTGATGGCAAACTCAAGACCCCTAACCCCTAATTGCCCATAGAAATTTCTTTACGTGATAAAATGCTTTGGCCTATACCAAGGTACTTCATATGAAGCAGCACTTGAAACTCACCACTGTGTTGAACATGAGGATGTATGAGCAGATGGCTTACTACGTGACATATGTCCTCTTTACGAGAACCCAACAGAAGCTTCTCTCTGCTCTCAGTGCTGTTCTTCTTTCTTATAGACACTTTTATTTATGATGCTTCCTTTTTGCTTTGACTGTTAGGAAGCCCACAGCAAAATCTGTAAACTACCTCTAGCAAGTGTACAAAGGATGGAATAACAGAATATTATAATACACGTTTTATGGAACCACCACACACTTATGGTTTCGTTTTATTTTCCCTAACCTTGTTTCTCCTTTACCCTAATTTTCTCACTTTTTCACCTCGTCTTATTAAATTTTATGTATTTTTAAAGACACACACAAAAAAAATCTTTTTTAGAACAAAGATAAAAATAGAAGATAGATATATAATCCAGATCACATTTTTCTAAGTAAAAGGATATCCACAAGGATATCATGAGAATTTTGTTAGGTGTTTTGCTACATCAAAACACACTAGGTCTACATCATTAATGTAATGCTCAGGACTTAAAATTATTTAAAAGGAAAAAGGAAAGAAAAGGGAAATATCCTGGTCCTAGTGAAACCACATCAGTTCCTGACAATCATGCTTTCTTTTCTAAATGCTTACAAATCACAAGTGTAGTTGCCACTTTTAGAATTTTTCTAGGAATTAATATCAAGCTGGCTACTCTGTCATTTGATGGGGTGGCAGGTGGGGTACCTATTTTGTTCCTTCTTTAGAAATTTGGAATATTTGCTCATTCCAAGTGTTCTTGAATCCCTCCTACCCTACATGTCTTATCAAAGATCACTGATAATAGCTGTGAGTTATTAACTGTCAGTTCCCTCAGTATTCTGTGGCAATTAATAAACACAGTGAACTTTATGTTTAAGCTCAAGAAAAATTAGGCATCATTCTTTTGAGAATAAGGCTTAAAGTCTGTTACAAGCTGTTAGAGTGGTTAAATTATAATAATTAGTATTTTGTGCAAATAATTTTACCTCAAATATAAGCCTCAAAAGAGAAGAGTGAGAGAGCACAGGAAATTAAAATTTGAGTACTCACTATGTACAGGTACCAAGCTAGGTGGTTTACACACCTTATTTCACATTTGTAATAATCCTATGATCTAAGTTATTGCATATCTTACAGATGAGAAAACTAAATGTCAGAGAGGTTAAATAGCCAGCCAACCTAGATCACAAACATATATTATAAATCTGAGTCTTGAACCCAAAGCTCATGCTTTTTCCCCTATATGGAATTAGAAGGAGTAATATAAAATGGTTAGCCAGTTATAACCTTTATCTGATTGGAAAATGACAGTCATGAAGTTTATGCCTGCCTTGGTAATCTTGTTCCTGTAGCACAGAAATCAATCCTGGAGATAAGAAAATCTGCAGAAAGAAGAATTTTGTGTCCCTAAGAAAAGTAAATTGCAAAGAAAATATACTTTTACCAGGGTACTAAGAGTTAATGAGGCAATTCATACCTAAGGCTAAGGGGGAAAAGCTCGTAATAGGAGTTCAGCCTGCATGTGAGAGTATGAGAAAATAAGACAATATTCTTAGAGCAGAGTGAAGGAAAGAAAAAAAAAACAATTAAAAGTTAGATCAGGCAGTGACAAAATTTTATCAGGCAATGATAGATTATAAAGTTTTGTTAAGAAAAAGATATCTATACCTAGTTGCTTATATTTCTTTAAATTTGCTTTAATTGCAGATGAAACCATAGCAGTAACATGTATAGAAGAAGAGATGGATCCAGGAGGCTGGGCTGGGTTGCAGGGATCTCTCCTTTGATAAATCGCTCTAGCTGACTGTAGTGCTCAATTCCAGATGAGAAGTTTGGGCCATTGAATTTTTACATCTCACTGCCCCAGCATCTATGATAAAGAAAAAAAAAAGTCTTCTAAAATTAAGGTTAGCAAATAAGTAGTATATAACAGAATATATAATCTTCTGAAGAAGCAACTCATCATAACAAAAAGCTTATAAATGTGCCGCTGATAATAGTGTGGTTCTCAAGTCTCCATCAGACACCAGAGTATTTCCCAAATTCATTCAAGGTGACTAGAGTACATTTCTTGGAAGACGTGACTACAAAGCATTAGAGGTAAAGATCCAACTGTATTGTTACTTACCCGCCACAAGGTCACTTCTGATAACTGACAAAAGAATAAATAGGATAGCAAACCTTTGTCAATTTTATCCAACAGTAAATAGTAAATAGTAAATAGTAAACAGTAAATAGGAAGAGGGTGTTCCTATCATATATGAGCAACATTGATTCCTTATGTAGAACCATGCCTACAACCAAAGGGCAATCCATCCAGATAATTCTGCCTATCAGAAATAGCCCCTTAAAGCACACACCATTTTGTTCCATTCTTGTCCTTTCCTTCCTGTTCCAGCTACTCATAATCATGTCTGCACCCAATCAGATCTACACATGGTAAGACTTCAGGGGCCCCATCCTATGCTTCCAGTCCCTAACCACAGAACCTAGTAACCGTCATCACCATTTATCCAGTAGCAGCTACCACTAAAAAAGCAACAGTCCTCATATTCTTGGGATCTACAACATACCAGCAGGCACTGGGCTGAACTGGTTTCATAATTAATCTCAAACCTCATCACAGTCCTTCAAGTTCTATTAATACTCCCAATTTAACGTTGTGGAAATAACAGGTTAAAGACCAATAAGTGGCTGAACTGGAATTGAAAACCAGACATGTCCAACTCTAAAGCTTTATTCTTTCTAATATGTCACACTGTCCCTCTATTTACAAGCAGGGTGTCCTCTTCCTCTTCAGCACCCACTCTTGTCTTCCATGATCTTTTCTGAGTTAAGCACCTTGAACTTGCCATAACGTTATGTCTTGGATCAGTCAGAATGCTTTTACTGTTGCTCTGCAGTCTCAAGTAGCAGTAACCCTAACTCAAACCTGCTTAACCAGTGAAGGAGATTTATCTGCTTCATGGAACTAGAAATTCCAGAGGTAGAGAAGCATTAAGCACTCTTTCCTCAGGGCTCCGGCCCTATTTCTCTGCTGTTCTGTTGGCTGTGCTGGACTCCATAAGTTGGCTTCACAAGATGATTACAAACAGTTTCATTGCTTTTATCCGGGAAAAGGAAAGTTCTACTTCAGAGAACCATCTAACAAAAGCACTAAGGTTCACTCTAATGAACACCCTAAACAAGTCACAATGGCCAGGGCGAATGATGTGCTGTGGCTGCCTTGGGTCTATGTTCTCCAACACTAGAACAATTCCTGAGCTAAACGTTCCAGCAAGAGGGTAAGAGTACCTGGTTTGGTTAGACCAGTGGCCCTTAGCTGAGACTGCAAATTAGCATCACGTGGTGATCTGTATATACACTACCAATTCTCAGGGCACGTCCCAGATGAATTAATCACTAGGGGTAGTGTTCCTGTGTCTATAATTTTATTGAGGACCCCAAGTAGGTGAAATGTGCATCAGGGTTAGAAACAACTGACTTACAGTGGGATTGACCCCACCCACACCACACTTCACTCCTGCGGGGTGAAGCAGAAGGGTGGGATGAATGAGGGAGGGATAGTCTCCATGCCCTCTGTAGCATTTACCATGTTTTGTCATAGCTGCTTGTCTTACAATTGCACCTCTTCCCCTCTAGATGATAAACTCCATAAAGATATAAACTGTGTCCCTATTACTCACCATTGCACCTAGCAAGTCACCTGGCATCCACTGAAACTTTTTAATGAATGAATGAAACTCAGGCTTTATAGGGATGGCCTTTCAAATAAGCCCTATCCTTCTTTAAATGAGACAGACTTCTACAGATTAATCTCTCAGTGTTCATTGTCACTCTCAGCTCAAACTCCCAGGAATTCTCCTCTGCCTGAATCAAAAAGTTCAGCTCCTTTACCATGTGTTGAAGGTCCTCTGCAGTTTATCTTTTATCTACCTCTCCAGTCTCATCTCTGAGGATTACCTGCACTTAGAAGACCTCATTTTTACTGAATTCCTCTCTAAGGCATCCTACCTATAAGAAGTTCACTTTTATTTTATTTTTTGCCAACATCAAGAATGGCTATAAAGTAACCTTATTTTCATTCAAAAATTGAACTAATGCTTTTTGCAAAATGTTTTGGATAGTATGGAGGATAAAAAATAGCAACTAACACTTTTGCAGCTCCTATGCAAGCAAAGTACTGCTCTTAGCATGTTATGTGTTACATATTAATGCATTTAATCATTTTGATAACTTTAGGATATGAATATAATTGTTATTCCTAGTTTCCCAGATGGGGAAACTGAGGCACATGGAAACTAGGTGACTTATCCAAAGCCATACAGCTAGTAAGTGGCAGATCTAGGATTTAAGCCCAAGTTGTCTGACGCCAGAATCCAGGCACTTAACCACTATAACCTTGACAGGCATTAAGAGAGCAGGTGAGCTGTTGTGACAACTGAGATTGAACTAAGACAGTGGCAGTGGAAATAAGGAGAAAGGGTCATCCATGTCTTCACAGAGAGGTATTATAATTGCAAAGGAGAGGTGAGCAGTGAAACCTCAACGATATCATGGCTTACAGCTGTTTAATGAAAATGAACCCAAACTGCCATATTATAGGACAAGAGATAAATCTTGACAGAGTATAAGTACTCTTAATAGATGAGCTCTTATACAGAGATAATTTTTATGATCAGAAGACTAATAATATCTAGGGGGCTACCAAAAAGGGCCCGAATGTGAGGCTGGCCAGAGGTCAAAGCCATGCAGGAATCTAAGGACTGCAGTCCCACATCCATTGTCTAATACCTGAGTCAGGCTGAGGCTCAAAAAATGAAAAATTCAAAAACAGAATCAAAGTCTCAGAGGCCCAGCCCATGTGGCATGCGTCCTCTTGAGAGAGGCCCCTGGATTTCAGAAGTCTAGAAATGTGTGTAGAGAAATAAGGCAAAACACAGCAGGTGATGCCAGCTGGAACCTTCTCTGTTTTATTCATGGCTCATTGGCAGACGGCTGGTTCCCAGGAGGTGGCTGAATCTCACAAGGTTCAGATGTTAGAGGAAACAAATAACTAATTGTGCTGAACCTCAGCTTGGATTCATTCTGGGGTGTGGACAAGCGTTTGTGTCTCCAGAGATTGCAGTGAAGTGGAAAGCATCTATTAGCCAGCTTGGTGATCTGAATTGAACAGAATAATTGAATTGTTGCCAAATCTGTGGGTGACTAGATGTCCTGTGTGAGCCAGGATGCTCCTGAGAAATTGTGGTAATTGTCAACTGTGGCCTACACTGGAAAGATAAGGCATGTCCACATTTTCCCCTAAAACACATTATGCATCTGTCTGAACTAAGTTTGGTTAAATTCTTGTAGGACTCATGTGTATTTTCATCTTCTATATTATTTTGCCCAGATGAGTAACAATTCTACTCCCTGCTGTGTCAAAGAACACTTCCCTTTTATGTTTTAAAACTACCTATTGCGTCAAGCCCTGCCCCTGTGTTCTAGTTCAATTCAGAGGCCAGAAACAGACCGGTTTCCAAGTGCTATCTGCAAGATCTTATGCTCAGAGTTGGAGAGCTGAAGGCAGAAGAATGAAAAGGCTGGTCCTTGCCTTCAAGCAGCTCTCAAATCATTGGGGATACAAACACAACTTTACATAATAGAATCTATGACCATGATGCAATGAAAATGACAAAAGATCTCTAGTGATGATTTAATTCATTAGATTGTGGGAAGGCTTCCTAGAGGAGGCAATTCTCAGCTTGACCTTGAAAGTGGAGTAAGATTTCAACAGGAATAGAACAGCGTACTTTGGACACTCCAAGATTCCTTTAGAAATAAGGTGTGATATGGATTAAAAAATAAAATAAGCATTCAAGTTGTAGTGTTTATAGGGAGTCCATATAAAGACATCCAGGAGGTAGTGAGGGGGTCAGGACTGTAAGTACAGACATGGATGCCACCTGCCTATGGAAATGAGCAAAGCCATGGGGTAGATATGACACGAGGGGAGTAGAGAGTCAGGAGAGAAGTTTGCTCAAGAAGCCTTGGGGAATACCAGAATCTAAGGTAGAGACAAAAGTGGAGCCAGTAACATGGGCTAAGTGGTCAACTTGTCAACATATGAACAGAGACAGGCTTCTGAAAACTATATCATGTAGGATCAAGACTGAGAAGAGGCCATAGGATTTGACCTTTAGAAACCATTGTCAGTCTTTATAATAGTAGTTTCAGTGGACTAGTGAGTTTGGAAGCCTAACTGAAATGGGTTAAGAAATGAAAGGGAAGTGTGGGGGTATTAGGAGCTCTTCTTTTTCAGCAGGTAGGATGAAGAGATGATGACATCTTCAATAGAAAACTGGGGGATGAAGAAAAGGATTTTTCCTCGAAGCAATGGTTAGACCCTATGGAAATTAGCTAAACCAAGTGATTTCTCACTCTTTGGGGGTTTATAGTTCAAGAGGGAATTACAACAGAGAGTGCCAAGATAGGTTAGTTATACAAATGCATATATTATTTATGGACATTATGTGTAAATTATGGGTTTATGATTTGAGTAGGTATAGTGCAGGGTTTTTTTTGTTCGTTTGTTTGTTCTCTTTGCCTGGCTCTTCTTAGGAAGAGTATGCATCTTCTTTTGGTGAAATACACCAACTCTAATAATATGGTTCCAGCAGGGGCTGCCAATCTTAGTGCTCATACTTACTACAAACACACATACATGCAATTATTGGACGATTGCATTTTCCTGTAGCCAAACAAAGCCAATAAGTCCTCACTAAGATTTTCCAAACAGGAGCTAAAGGAAGAGATGGAGTGTTGTTTAAAGGCAAAGTTGGAACATGAGCCTGGAAGCTGCTAGTAGCTATGTTCTGAGCCTAACTG